GGGTAGATCTCTTACAGATACAAACCCGTCTTTAAACACTGATGGGACCAGAACCGATTTATTTGGCTACATGTAATAGACCTGATATTGCGTTATCAGTGGGACATTTAAGCAGATTTATGAATTATCCTACTAAGAAACGCTATGGAGCAGTGAAACGAGTCTACGATAGTTGTTAGGAGCGGGTAATTTTGGAATTGTGTTGTGGATGGACGTGTCAAAGGCTGACAGCATTATAATCAACTGCCACTGTGATGCGGACTGGGGAAACGATCCTGACACTCGGATAGGTGTTATTACTGGATATGTCATGGCAATTGCTGGAGGTGTTGTAGAGTGGGCAGTTAGTCGACAAACGATCATGGCTCAATCGACCTCGGGAGCGGAATAATTCTCTGGCCCACTTAAGAAACAACAATACCTAAAAACACTTAATATGATGCGGTCAATATGATGTGGTCCACATGAATATTACGATTGGCCATAATCACGGTGTAAAGTCCTGTGATTGACTAAATGGTTCTGGATTGCGCATTGCAAGAAACGCATGCAAAACCGTATAACTTATTGTGCCATAAAGCGGCATCTTGAAGGCCACACGATTGCCGCTATCACGTCAGGGATGTCGAATAGGGCATTTTTCTTAATCAACTCGGCAAAACAAGAAGATCAGTTATTATATTGTAGTACGGATGAAGGAAACTTCAATATTTGTATTGGAACTATTGAAAATGAATAATGGCCATGTTAAAATCGCATACTGATAAAACAGAGCTCAAGAGTAGAATCAGATCACACTGTCAACAGTGCGGACATTACGTCGTGTTGAACCCGTAGAAAAAGAATCATCTCCAGGGTATATAGATTCAGACGATGGCGTTCATGGCCGAACTTGATCCGAGCGAGGCTGAAAAACTTCTCAACCATATTCGAAGTGAGAGGTTTGGAAGACAGTATTTGATATTCTTGGACGTGCTGGGGTTTCTTTCGTTTACGTTTGAATTGCACGACAAACTCGTTCTCCGAGTTGTCCGTTGTGTGGGAGACATCACACTGGTGCCCTTTTCAAACTGTTGAAGGGCTGTTTCTCCCCGCGCGATTTAGTTTTGCCGTGTCCCCATTGGGCACCTTGACGCATCACGCCTCAAGTCTGGCGAATGAACTACATCAGCCCACGCATCTGCGCCATAAAAATTAATGCGATGTTAGCTATTGTTGGTGAAGGTACGATACAAAAGTAGAAAATATACGGACCCAGATAGTGACTGAAACTTGGCTCGACTTCGATCAGACCATCGAACTAGACACGGACATACAGCATGGTGATGTCGTCCTTTTGGAGGGCCTTACTCATGTTTTTAACGCGTGCAAGCTCCGCCATCAGAGTCTTCAAGCGCTTCACTGTCCGTGGGGCTCGGCAGGAGTTCCGAGATCTCGTCGTCGTCCCCAGGAAGAAACCCAGCGAGTCGAAGTAGTGCTCGGCCATTCTATAGGGCAAGCCCCATCGTGTGTCCTGGCGAAGAATTGGTCGCTGCGGTGTCTTAAAACTGATGTACAATACAAAATAATTAGCACAAAAACTACTAGAAGGAAAAACAAAAAGAAATTGTCATATATCGGTGGGCCGCAGCATGGTTCAGCGTCTTCATTTTACGCATGAGCGCTTGAATCTGCGCCAAATCTTCCTCGTAGCGTTTCAAGTATGCCTGCACCGCCAACTTTAGGCGGTGGCTTGCACATCCCTCCAGCGGAACGCCCATTCTGGATGCCAACCGCCTGTTCACTGAGCAATTGTCGCCCGCGATAAAAAGGCAGTTGTTTGCCAGCTTACCGTAATCGAGCACTAGCATTGTGGCTAGGAAGGGTTGCGCGCGTGTGCCATGGTCACCATTCGCTTCGTTGATGAGGGGGGCCATGGAGAGCAGTGACTCCTTTCATTTCGTAGCAGGAAAAATTGCAAGGAAGTGCTCGGGGTCGTGCGAACATCCATCGATGACGAGCCCAAACTGGTCAAGCATCTCATCTTTGATCTTGGTCTTCACTGTCAACGTCACCCTTCCATCAACCCACGCAATGTCTCTACAGAGACAGGAGAAAGACTAGCGTAGCTGCACATTTTTGTTAGTCGCGCAAACGACACAGCAGAACAGACAGGATATTATACCGTCTCGCCACAGTATTCTCACAGAAACGGAGTGATAGGTTGCTGGAAATACTCCAGTCCAGTCGCTCTTGAAGATCTCTTGCACGTTGATGAATGCAAGGCTCCAGCAAGCCATGACGGTTTTCGCCTCTCGCGTCACATCCAAGTAGTCAGGATGTTAAATACGCATGTACTGGATGAGATTAGAGTAGCCACTACGGGGGGGGGGATGACAAACGGTGCCACACCGGCACCGATAGAGACCTTCAGTAGTCTTGTCAAAGGCGTCTGTGACGACTGAGAAGTAGAATCGGAGGTACGGGGGAGTTGGAAAAGGCTTCGAGGGCCATCTCACTGATAGCAAAGTGAATGTATTGCATGAAGTGTTAGAAGGAAGACTTGAACACTTGATAGCCATCCCTCTGCGGCGCCCTAACTTAACAGTAAATTAAGGTGCGCGTCCACTACTTTAGGTACATTATTAAGGGTGAAAATAAATAATTCTAGGGTCATTATTGTATTGTACCGGCAGCCAAAGCATTTTTCAGCATCCCTGTATCACATCCATGTAGGTAATTGTCTCGTCTGCCCTTGAAAAAAACTGCAAATATTTATGGTCAGAAAACTCAAGTGTTATTTCTTAGGTGGTCCAGAGAAGTATGCAGCTGCTTGCGAAGTCACCATGGTATGCCTCGGGGTCGTGAACATGCTGAACGGAGCATTGCCACGGATTGCTGTATCAACCGAGCTAACTATAAACGCTGTAAATATACATGTACGCTGTCTCTGGAAGCTCGCCTGAGCCGTCGCCCGCTGGTGGGTTCCAGACCAGCTTGTGGGATTTGTAGGTTAGTGGCACTGCAGCCAATCGCCTCCTAGGTCTTGAATACACTCTGGAGGGCTCTCTCTGTTGTCGCCGCTCAGCATTCTCGAATCCGAGCTCGTGCCCTCCTGCTCGGCCTTTTTTGCCCAGCAATCCTCTGTCCGTGTTTGACTATGGTTACGACAAGGAGCAGCAGCTACCACTCACCTTCACAAACGCTGATAACAACGCAGCTATTGCACTCGAGGCTGCTTTCATCTGCAGCCGCAAAATACATCACATCGAGCTGCGTTGACATCACGTACAAGATCAAGCGACGAAGAAGCCCCGTGGACGTATACAAGGTTGTCGGGAAGATAATCCAGCTGATACGATACGTTCATGACAGCTTGTCACAGACAGCCTGTCCTAGTTTTGGTCGCAATTAGTATGGTTATAAAATTGCCTATTTCCTGCAATTGAGAGTTTCACCTTTGGTCTTTTCGTTGTAGTTCAGTATCAAATAGGACGTCTTGAGGTCAATCTACTCCGAAGAAGAGCAGGCTGCGCTAAGAAGTAATCCGAAGTGCGTATCTGCACGAATATGGCTTGCGCGTGCTCTCTACAAGAGCTATACCGCGAACCTGAGCAAGAATATCCTACTGTGCAGCGCAATGTCATGCCATGGCCTTGCCGCGGCAATTACTTTTAAGAACCCAACAATGTATGATTTTTTGAACATACGAGATAGTCCTTGAGTACTACAAAGACTGCAGGACTCGCTCCGATTTGTGGCCGCCACCAACCAATGCATTCTGTTACTCATACAACGCTGGTGTGTGTCCTCGCCGCGACTGTTAGCAGCAATCAACCTAGAAGATGAGATATATAGATGTCCGCGTTGGCATAAAAACAAATATTTTAAAGATTTTATATTAATTTTAATTTCCCAACTTGACAATAAATAAAGGAAATAATATTTTCGTTTTAGAAAATGAATGAACTTTTAAAACATTATTGAGCATATAGTATTGACTGTATTTTAACACGCGATAATTTTTTAGAGAAAACTACGATAATGCACTTCTGATTACCATCCAACGGACACAGATGCTATTCAGCACGAAAAAACCCATCATTTTTTTAAATTTTTTTTTCGGGCTGATTAGCATCCGGGTACCCATAAATTCGCTTTTGGGAATCTTAGCGATTAAGGCTCTCTAAATTTAAAGAGCCTCTAATCTATGTGTTTAGCGTAAATCGATCCTACCGCCACTATAGTCTGCCAGATCTCAAAAGGACCCGAAGCAACACCAACCAACTTGACAGCCATGACGGACGCACCGAAGGAGGCCAAGAAGCTGTGGGGCGGCCGCTTCCGCGGCAACGTGGACCCTGTCATGAACAAGTTCAATGAGTCGCTGTCTGTGGACAAGCGCATGTGGCGCGTGGACTTGGACGGCAGTCAGGCGTACGCACGCGCCCTGGAGAAGAGCGGCGTGCTCACGACGGCCGAGGCGGACCAGATCGTGGCCGGACTGGATAAGGTCGGCGAGGAGTGGGCGGCCGGCACCTTCCAGCCCAAGGACGGCGACGAAGATATCCACACGGCCAACGAGCGTCGCCTCACGGAGATCATTGGCGCCGTGGGCGGCAAGCTGCACACGGGCCGCAGCCGCAACGACCAGGTGGCCACGGACGTGCGCCTGTACCTCAAGCGCACCATTGTGGGCATCCAGGACGGCCTCAAGGAGCTCATCGGCACGGCCAACCAGCTGGCCGAGAACAACATCGACCTGCTCATGCCCGGCTTCACGCACCTGCAGCCGGCCCAGCCGCTGCGCTTCTCGCACTGGGTACTGAGCCACGGGGCCGCACTGCTGCGTGACGCCGACCGCCTGGCCGACCTCACCAAGCGCGTGGACTACATGCCGCTGGGCAATGGCGCACTGGCCGGCAACTCGTTCGGCCTGGACCGTGAGGCCCTGGCCAAGTCGCTGGGCTTCGCCAACGTGACGCCCAACAGCCTGGACGGCGTGTGCGACCGCGACTTCATCGCCGAGTTCCTCTTCTGGGCCTCCATGCTCATGGTGCACCTGTCGCAGCTGTCGGAGGACCTCATCATCTACAACACGCTCAAGTTCGTGACCATGGCCGACGCCTACAGCACGGGCAGCTCGCTCATGCCGCAGAAGAAGAACCCGGACGCGCTCGAGCTGCTGCGTGGCAAGAGCGGCACTGTCATCGGCCGTCTCAACGGCTTCCTGGTGACGCTCAAGGGCCTGCCGCGCTCGTACAACAAGGATCTGCAGGAGGACAAGACGGCGCTGTTCGACGTCGTCGACACCATCCAGGACTGCCTCCAGATCGCCACAGGCGTGCTGGCCACCATGACCCCGCACGGCGACAAGATGCGCAGCTTCCTGGTCACGGAGATGCTGGCCACGGACCTGGCCGAGTACCTGGTGCGCAAGGGCGTCCCGTTCCGTGAGACCCACCATGTGGCCGGCGCGGCCGTGCGTCTGGCCGAGGACAAGAACAAGCCTCTGAGCACGCTCACGTTCGAGGAGCTGTCGACGCTGCACCCCAAGTTCGAGGAAGACGTGCTGGAAGTCTGGAACTTTGACGTCAGCGTCGAGCGCAAGAACGTCACGGGCGGCACCAGCAAGAGCGCCGTGCAGAAGCAGATCGCCGACATCAAGGCGTGGCTCGCCTAGATCAGGCGACTGCAGACATTGGCCACTCCGGCCGCAAGTTTATAATGCTCTACCCACTCTTCTCTTAATGAAGGAACCTGTTGCATCTGCAAAACAATAACATCCGATCATCTTCCCTATATTCACCAAGAGCTTCTCGTTCTAGTCTGTCGTTCTAGCCGTGATACGTCGCGCTGCTTAGTGGCCACTGCATAGCCACACAGATTACGAGAAGGTTAGCAAATTATTTAACAGGGACACATGACGGCCGAGATACGCACGATTTCTTGCGGCGAAGGATGAAGTCGATCATGGAGCCGACGCGGCGGTTGGCGCGGCGGATGGTCTGCTCTTCGTTTTTGCGTTTGCGCTTCTGCCACTTTTTCTCGTGGAACCGCTTGCGCGACAGCGTCTTGAGCGTGCCGTCCTCGGCCAGGATCGTCTGCATGCGGCTGGCCACGCGGTTCGCGTCCTGTCCATCGGGCACCGCGGCCCACAGCGAGCGCTGCTGCTGGGCGGCCGGGCGGAACGCCTGCGTGGCCGGGCGGCGGGCAGCATTACGCAGCAGAGCCGACATCATCTTGACACTTGCTGCGATTGTAAGTCTGTGGCCATTGGCACTTCACCATTTTTGAGTCTCCCCGTTTTAGTGACCTCACGATTTTTGGGTCTCCAGTTATTGGAATTAGGTACTTTTAGGCACGCAAAAACAAGTGGCAATGGCGAATGAAGCAACGAAGTCGTGGGATGACCAGGCTGTGTGGGAGTCTTCGGGGTTTCTACGCTTCCTGTCGGAGCACCATGTGAACTCGCAAGACCTTCTTAACCCCTCAGCCAACGGAGACTCGCTGCGCTTCTTCCGGTACGGAGCTACAGCCCTCTAAAATTGTGTATCATTCCTGCATTAACTCATTTACTTCGATGCGTCCTACGACCTCCAGACTGAAGAAACTCACTTGTAATGATAACCAAGACGCTGAAGACCCTCGTCTGCAATCAATCGCCGCCAGTTTAGCTCGAGAAATAGCAGAAAGCGACTCCGATGTGCCCAAAGACGTCGAACCCAAGGCTATTCCGTGGCTCCCTGGCTTCTACTCGCTGCCTGTTTCAGCCCCATTGGCTCGAGTCGATCTCTATAAACAAGGCCAAGTCTACGGCATCGACATTTCGTCGGGCTACGCTGTAACCCTGCTAAATATCAAGCCTGGAGAGCACGTCCTGGACTTGTGCTGTGCTCCAGGAGCCAAATTGACCATGATCGCCGACCTATTGCAGCTCCATGGCAGCGTCACTGGAGTAGACTTTTCTCGATCTAGACTAGGAGCCTGCAGGCAATTGGTGCACAAATACGAGCTCTTCCAGCCTCAAAATGAGCTCAACAAGTGGAGATGCAGACTATTCCATGCAGACGGAAGGACCTTTAACATCGGCCCCAAGACAGAATGCGTGCATATCGACGGGATGGAGCTGCTATTAGACACACAAGAGATTGCGTCCAGAGCTCCAAAAGATCGCAAGCGCAAGCGTAAGAACAAAAGCGCACGAGCTCGAGACGCTAAGCGCCAGAAGCTGCTGGTTCTGGACTCGACACTGTACGATAAAGTGCTGGTAGATGCCGAATGCACCCACGACGGGTCAATTCGTCATCTCCAGCGACTGGATACGGCTACAAAGTGGGGAGAATACGTACGTGACCACTTGAATTCAAGTGAAGTTGAACGGATTCTCACGCTCCAGCATGGACTCATCCGGAACGGCTTCAGTTTATTACGTCCTGGAGGCACAATGATCTACAGCACGTGCTCATTATCAGTAAAGCAAAACGAAGACATTGTATCGAAGTTCCTGCAGGATGAACCACTCGCTGCGCTGGACCAAATCGTCATCGACAAGGACGTTCCGTGCAAGGTTTGTAGTCTCATCTGGATAAATTACTTACTGGAAAATTGAACGGATGTGTATGTTCGTTGAATTTTATAGGAAGGAAAACTTCCAGGTACTTTACGCTTCACTCCGTCACAAAACACAAGCGGGCTATTCATCGCCCGGATCAAGAAGTCGAGCAGTACCGATGAGTCTTGAAATACTACCATTACTTTTATTTTACTTTCTGTATTATTCATCGCTAATCATACCAGGGACGGACTCACTCCACGCCCTCTTCTCTCGGACAGGAACGATAGTATGATTAACGCTTGAAGCACTGGAACGCTGTCCGAATGCCCCTCGTCTGGTTTTCCGTCGTTGCTCCTCGGTAGAAACCATCACTCCAGTCAACAAAGTCGCAGAACTGAGACGTCGAACACGATGCCGTCCAGTCAGCGAGTTCCTGCGAAAACTACTGGTACTACTGGAAGGCATCCGTAAGCTTCTGATCCTGCGTCGTAGTCCTGGAAAAGTGTCGAATGGGCAGAAATATTCCAGAGATCCGCGCATAATACTAAGCTCTTCTTCGTCAGGATCTAAGACGTCTTCATCTGGATCTTCTGAGGGAACTGGCGGATGAATGAACTGTCTGCAACGTATGAACGCTCCTTTGAAGACGTTCCACGCGTGACGCTGCATCCAGAAGAACATGATGAAGACGCGGTTGATGAGAATGATCTTGGTGTTGATCACTTTGTGGCCTACACGGAAGTGCACGAGGTCTCTTCCGTGCAGTCCACTGGTCTCTGCAGACAGGAAGACGCTTGCGTAGGCTACTGAGAGCATTAGAGCCCATAATAACCACAACACGGGCACCACTTGCAGCTTCGAGAAGCTGAGTTGTCGTCGTACAGGTGGAGTCACAGCATCGAGCAGCTGGACCCACACGAACCACAGGAAGGCACTGGCCACCGCCCAACAACGATAGTCCCAACTCATCATATCCGACACACACAGACACGCTATGGAGCAGTGCAACGTTGAGAAAAGAAAGCCGAAGTTATGGAATAACAAGGCACGCAGCATATCTCGCTGACTGGCGCATGCAAATACAGCACAGAAGGCCAAGCTGAGTAGGAATCCGAGGACAGGGACTGCGTATTCCTGTGCTGATTGACTCCCACCTGGTGGAAGAGTTAGCGTTGCAACCGTGAGCGCTAGTCCGAATGATCCGGTGCCGTAAATTCTGATGAGTTTCGAGACGGAGAACCGCTCTGGAGGCTTCGTCGGCCACGATTTTAATATTGTGTTTCGTGTGTCGATAGCGCTGAGGCGTAATGCCACGAGTGTGATCTGCTGATGATGTTGAGCTGTGTCGTTGGCGCTTGCTATGGACATGACGGGGGATGAAATGCCGAGTTGTTTGTGCAGAACGTGGCCTCTGCTACTGGTCTCGACTCCAAGACTGGCAGTTCTTGAGTACCGCACAGGACGCAGCACGAGATGGGTACGATAGAGCTGACATCGGATGAGTTTGGAGCCGGCACTGTGTGCTGCGAAGAGCTTTCGCTTTGTATAGAGAACTCGCATGATAAACGGGATCAAAGTGGCCACGGCGTTCTCGAATAGTCCCAGTAATGGTAACGTGACATCTTCCACTGCACCGGTTAAGGGTATCAACGTTCCGAGACGAGCTTCTTCGACATCTACGACTTGGAGGAAGACGAGAACTACGATGACTATCAGCACAGTCAAGAGTATAATGTTGCTGCGTATGGCTATTACGAACGTGCGGAAGTTGGTGTCCATCGAAATTGAGAGTTGTGAGTTGAGCCAAAGTGGAATTAAACTCATGGCTCGTAGTGGATCGGCCAAGAAGAAAGCGAGTAGTGACCAGGCGATGAAGTTGGCAACTGTGAAGAACCAGAACTCGTAAAATTGACTGAGAAGTCTCAACACGTCGAGGCTTGCGGTGGCCGTTGAGCTCATTAAAGACGTCATTGAGAGCGCCGCAGAAATTGGTCCTAGTATTTTACCAACGTCCCGTGGTGAAGCCACCACCACCACCGTAAGTAAAATTCCAAGTATCTGTCCGAAGTGCATAAAGTCAAAATTCTTCTTCATCCAGCGTAAAAACTTTAAATTTCGCTGTGGACCCAGCCATCGATGTGATAGAGTGTGTCGGAGATCAACAACGGGGAGTGCTCGGGTGGCCTCGAATTTGTACAGATAAGCACCATGCTCTCGACTTTCCAGCTGTATTCTTGGCCTGAGGAACTTCTCGTCCGGTGTAGTGTGTCGTCGCGGTATCGGGACAATGCGGACAACAGTCATCCCGAAGAATTATCAATATACGGCGACGAAGACTGCATTCATGCACACAACGAAAAGATGACTGTGATGGGATGGTAAGAATGGACTTCAGTATTCTATTTTTGAAACCAATTCTATGCGAAGTTATTTATTTTTTACTTCGGTTCGTCGAGTCTGCAGTGTTGATGCGAGTTTCCGCGCTGGCAGCGGTCCCAGTGACTTGGCGAGCGAGGCGCAGCTTACGGAATCCCAAGAAACCAGCAGCGGTGATATCTAAGCTCAAGCATGTTTGGTTATCTACACAAGTGAGTCATCGTGGAAAATACTCCATCGAGCGATTTCTAGCTCTTCAAGAGTACACTGAACATACGCCAAAGCTTCGTATATTTCTCGTATGTGTTGGAACGCCGTTGCTGATGATCGCAGCCGTGGTGGCTCTGGAATGTGTACCGTTGCAAAACCCGAGTGCTGGTTGGAAAGAAAATTACGGACTCTGGATCCGCAGTGCTGTTATTTGCGGCGTTATTGCGTCGACGATGCTCATCGAGTTGAAATATTTTATTGAAGGCATCACGATCTCAGCGTGGCAAGCGACTTTTGTACTACTCTGTGTAATGGTGGGGGATACGGCACTGTGTATGACTATTGCTGCCTATTTGGCGTTCCCGATTCCCTTTATGAGTATCGTAATGGTACCTCCATTACTTGCAATTGTTGCTGGATCACTTCGAATAGCGTTCGGTGCTACAGATTTTAAGAAAATGCTCACTCATTCAGCACAGCTGTATGGATTTGTACTATTCATTTTGGCCCAAGCATTGACGCTTCTTGTGTATCCAGTATACCAACTCCTCTTTGACGCTGCTGTGAATACACTCTATGAATTACCAGTCATGATGCTGCTCCCTGTACTCAAGTTAATCTTGAAGAATACAGTCGCGTCGAGTATATATTACATGGAAGATATGTTACCCGAGTCGGTAATTTTCACAGTCGACTACTTCAATGCTGTGTACATGGCTACCTGCATGCAACGTGCGTCTTCGACCGTCACAGTCACGGCAATCATGGTCGTTGATGTCTTCCACACGTTTCTTGCTCTATACAGTTTGCATCGAAATGCATTGGAGATCAGGCACCGAATGAATCGAGATATGAGCAGCAACACCAACTCTCTCAAACTACTTGATCTAGGCTGCTCACTGTGTCAATATCGCGATAAATTTGAGAGACAGGAGCTCTCTCAGATCCAATTAAGGTCGTGTCTTCCTCACACACTCTCGTCAGTAGGAAGGAGCTTTCTCGGGCGGTTGGAAAAATACCCTTTGAAGACCGCTGTCAAAGCTCATCGAAGACGAATCGCAAGTATTTTACCAGCACCCATCGATAATACCTCACCTTCCAGTCATCAAAGTAAGTGGAAAACTGCTAAGCGCCTTACCACCAAGGCTTACGCTGTATCGGTGATCAACATCTCAACTGTGAAGCCGCTTATGAGAGACAGCGCGTTCAGGACCAGGAGTGTTATCTCTTCGTACTCGGTGCCTTCTTCACGGATTCTCCATAGAATCCTCGAGATTTTATTCACGACGGAATGTCTGGTACTTACGGAGTACTTGGAGTCGTTAACTCCCGTATTTTACGCAAGTTTCCTGCGTATCATGGTTCACCTGCCAAGTGCAAAGTACCATACGGAGCTCGACGGTATCACACGAGATACTGTACAAGACACCGTGCAAATTGTTTTTTTGTATGGATTACTCGAGTGCGCTTCGTTCCTAGTTCTCGTTATGGTTATAAGACGCACTATTGGTATCCACGCACTCTACCACCTCGCGTTCGTATTGGAGACGCAAATGGCGCTTATCCAAAGTAAACTCATCGTCTGGATGCTGCTGACATTAACCTGTCGCGAAGTCCATTACGGTAAGTTGTCAGAAAACTCTTTTCAAAGGTTTCTTACTAACAGAAATATTTTTGTTGTACAGGCTTCGACTTCAGCTTCCAGTTCGCTTGGATCAAAGATAGCAATTAATATTTTCCCAAGGTAAACAAGAAGACAGTAGGAATTGTGCCGAGTATTGGTCTAATTTCTGCTTTTTGAGACCTGTTTTGTACTCGAGTTTCGTCAAATCACTTTAGAACGGATAGAATCACCATACCATGTACGCTCGATGCAAATGGCAGTATGTGACACTGGACGCGACGGGAACGTTGCTGCGTCCCGCGGAGCCTCCCGGTGCGACGTATCTGCGCTTCTGGGAGGCGGCATCCGGTCAGTCCTTCTCGTCGTCGCGCCGCGCCGCGTTGGTCGCCGCACTATCGTCGAACTTCCCGTCCGAGTTCAGTTTACAGTCACGTCGCCGGCCCAACTTCGGGTCGGACGGCACGGCCGGCACTGCGTTCCCGTGGTGGCGCGAACTCGTACTCAACGTGATGAAACGTGCCGACGTGGCGGACTGCGTTGCTATCAACGCGGAGCAAAGCGAGCGCTTCACGCGTGATCTGTACGCGCATTTCGCCCGTCCAGAGGCCTGGACGGTGTACGAGGACGTGCGGCCGGCACTCGAGAGGCTACAGAGCTTAAACGTGCCTATGGGTGTCATCTCGAACTTCGACGAGAGACTAGAGTCGCTTCTGGTCGGCCTGGAGCTCCGAAGCTTCTTCGAAGTGGTCACGACGTCCTTCAGTCAGCCCCATATGAAGCCGCATTCGTCGATTTTCATCTCGACTTTCAGACAGATGCAAAGAGAGGAAGGAGACGTGAAACCAAGCAGGTTTTTGCATGTAGGAGACCACTTGTCCAAAGACTACAAGGCCGCGAAGGATGTGGGGGCAAACGCTCTGCTACTATGCAGAAACAAGCAGAAAGCGCAGCCTACGGACGTGCAGGTGATTGAGACGTTGCAAGATTTAAGTAAGAATTAGTGTGAACTTCACACGGTGAAGATTTTACGTTGAACGGAATTGAAATACAGCTTTTCATGAATTTCTAACACGATTATTCAGACGGTTTTATTTATTTATTTTATTTTTTTTAGATGGGAATGTTCGTTTGAAACCACCGACGCTTTGATGTGTAGTATGCCATCTCGGAATATACGTCCAAGTGCGCAAAGGAGAGTTTGAAGACGATGGAGTCTTCGGAGCTCTGTGTTGCAACGGAAGACGTGGTTCAACTTGTGGGAGAATTGCGACGAGATTTTGACGGAACCTGTGTGGCTATTGCGAGTGAGCTTGCTGTCTGTGAGGACCCCACTCGTTGGCTCGATCTGCTGGCTGTTCTAATATTAAGAGACCATGCGTTGGACGTGAGAGAACGCCTGGAAATGGATTTCCTGCCTCAAGTGGTGCAGATCCTACTGGGAAAATCGTTCGAAGTGGCGGTGCAAAAAGTCAACAAGTTTCTCCAGTGGACGCTCGAAAATGTCAAAAAGGGTCTGAAACGAGGAGATATTTCTCAGCTGTCGTGTCTTACCAGGATTCTGGATGGACATCGCAGATTCTACCTTTACCACGGAACTAGCAATGATGCGAGTGGCTTGAAAGAGGTGAAAATCAAAGAGACTTCAGATCAGACTCGTCGGTTTACTGCTCGAGAGAGTTCGGAGTACACGTCTCGGTATTTCCTGCGCAACATTGAATATTGGGGGGAAATGGACGGATTTTCCGTTCTTCTTGATGTTCTACAAGCGGGTGCATCGTTTGAAGTGTTGCAGTGTGTTCTACGTACCCTGTACGATGTGAAAGATCACTTGAATCCAGAGTTCTTAGTGGAATATTTCCCGGAATTGACGGATGCAGTATGCATTTTCGTAAAAAATCTGCCGACTTCCGAATTCTACACGTTGTCTCGAGATTCGTTGCTGGAGGTTGTGCAAGTAATGGAGCTGCTGCTAGTCAAGATCGACCATGATGTCGGCTCATCGTCGAAGGGAAGTCAGGTTGAAAAATCTGAAAGCTTCACTTTACGTGAGATTTGTGACCAGCGAGTACAGATTCTTCGTCTTGAAATATCCATGCGATTTTTCCAGAGCAGCTCATTGGAGAAACGTATCTATGGATTAACGGAGATCGTGGTGATTATTACCCGGTTGTACAACGACCAAATCCAGGAACAGACAGATCCTACGGCTGCATCGCTCTTCGCTACGTTGAATTATCTGGTCGACTGGATGCACGAAAAGCGGTTAATGCAGGAGTTACTGGGCGAGAAGATGCACGTCGAGTTAATCAAGCGATCAACGTCATTGTTTCAGTTTGTATCGGAGCTGGAGGTGTTGCCAACGGAGTGGATTGACTTGGTATGGAACTGCTACCATGCAGAGACAGACGAGGAGGAATCTCGTCCTGTTCAGAGACGCCATGAAGCTCTTCGCTCGAATATCCACGAATTGCTACTGGAAATGGCGACATTCATGGAATATCCGTCGCTTATCCATCTAGTACGACGTATCGAAGCTGTCAAAGCGAAGCTAGACTCGAATCAGCTTGGACTCCTCGCAGCTATCGCAGCTCGCAGATTTGTTGTGGACGTGTCTTTGGAAGACCGTAAAACGTCGCTGCGACAGCGGATTTTGATGCATTTATGGTCTAATGTGCTTCCGTTTGTGAAATCCGAGGACTTTCGTGATGAAGTTTTGCTTCGTATGCATGAATTACTTCGGCTAGAAGCGACGAGTGAGGGTGACGACACTGTAGTGAATCGCAAGTGTGCAATGGTTGACGAGTTCCTTCGTTTGTGCTTGGATAATATCCGTCGACGTGAAAACCTAGGGTTTTCTCTGAAACTTTTCACTCAATTATCTGCTCTGGTTGTCGAAGTTGGCATTATCATGTCGGATACGTGCAAGGCGTACGTTAGCATCTTGCTGAACGAGGCAGTAGCCTACAAGGAAGGCGTTCGACAGAAATTAAACTTGGTAGATTTTCTCCAGATGGATGACGATGAACGTGAAAAACTTCCGTTTATGACAGATCACGTAGGAGAGATTAAAAATCGATTGCTGGCGCTACGAGCTGCGTGGATTTTAGACGAATATGGCGGCAAGGAGTCCTCGTTCACGGAAGATCAGTTGAATAAAGTGTGGGAACTCATGATCATTGACGCCTTTTTACTGGATGAAGCTGCGCTTTGCTTCCAGTGGATCGAGCTCTGCATGAACACTCTACTGCCAAAAAATCCAAAAAAAGAGAACGCAGATTCTAGAGCTTTAATGCCTATCGGCATCGCGGAATATCTGCTCACGACCAAGTTTCCCACTTTATCCGGAGATCACATCACGCTGTCAACGTTGTGCTGTTTCCACAGCATTTTCCGTCGAATTAACATTTTGAAAGGAGGTTTGGAAATATTTGCCACTTCAGATGAAATTTCGTCGCCTACTGGAAGAACAAGCAGCGAGAAAGAGGAATCAGCGGAGCTTTTGACGGGCCAACCACTAGTGGGACTGGATGAGTTATGGCAACTCGCAGTCAGAGCTAAGGATTCGACAGTAGCAGAGGAGGTTATCACGTTATTGGCGAGTTTCCACTTGGCTTTTGCGCCTGAAATCCGACAAACTGAACTGCCATTCCAGCGCAAAATGCAGTTTCTCGAGAAATGTATGGAATTTATCGCAACAGCCAAGAGGGAAGCGGAACTTGTCGTTGGCTCCGATAAAGATAATGACAAATCCAGCGAAGTTGCTGCCAACGTGGCAGTTGTGAATCGTTGTGTGGATTTATTGCGATATTTCCTAGAAGCCTGCAAGGTTGGAGACGACTCGGTATCAAAAGATGAAGAACTAATACTTCAAAAACTAGAGAGTGACGCGACGAGCGAAGATAACACGAAAGCAGGGAAGATATTTCCGTTGGAACATCTAGAAGAACGTTTGCCGTATTTGGAGACTTATCCTTCCCCGTTGAAAGATTCCCATTCGGAATCAGCTAAGGTTGGATATCCTACTGGCCGTCGACCCAGTTGGACGTTCCGACAGCAGCATGCTCTCTTAGATGTTATTGTTGATGCAAACGAAGAAATTGAAGTAGATGACGCTGTGAGTTCGGACAATCTGCCGCCGAAGATCGATATTCTACTAAAGACAGCTAGCCCTACGAAACCCAGCTCACGTTCGCCATGTGTACGAGCGAATCTGAGTTCGCCACAAGCCCCTTCTCCGCAGCGTGGGCCGGACTTAAAAGCCGAAGATATTGATCAAGCGATAACCGATTTTACCAGCAAAAATCCACGAGAAAAATCGGCGAAAATCAACACACCGTTCGGGATTATGAGCCAGATTCTGGCAAACCAAGACTCGTATTTTGACGTTTTGCTGGATCTTGTCGATTGGAATGAGGCGACGTCGCAGAGGACGTGGGATTTGCTATGTCGTCTGCCGACCAACAACGGATTACTGCGTAAAATGATCCGATTGCGTCGCGCAGAGAACGAAGTAGCAGATTGGTCGGATTTGCTGGATAGTTCAAATATCCATCGACTGCTGTACGCGCTCCGATTAGTGGAAGCTTTGCTGATACCAATTGAATCCACGAGTAATGGAGAGTTGAATTCGGGGCGACGACAATGGAGAGAGCGCTTTGTTCGTTTGGGAGGAGCGACGCATTTGTACGAAACGTTGTTGAAGTGGCCAGAAAAGCAGAATACCGATCCAGACTCGGTTTCATCCGAGTATGCACAAAATATCCGTGCCACATGCCTTGCTGCCGTCATGCGGGTGCTAAACTACTTTTTCTACTGGAACCGACTGAATACCGAGCAAAACAGTACATCTTTGTTTGATTTACGGTTGCAGAGCTCAACATTTCCTGAATTTGTCAAAGCGATTAAGCTGTCGTCCATGCTGCAAGTTGCAGTGCAGTTAACCGCTAAATTCTGTCAAAATTTCGACAAGAAGTCCACATTTTCTGACGAAGTGGCTGAGACCGTGTATTGCGGGGCGCAAATGTGCAGCTCTCTCATCCTCTTTGCACCGCATCTCACGCTACAGGTGTTTAAACCGGACTCAGAGAATGAAAAATCCACTGATATATTAGATTCTCTCGCGATGACGATGCCTGAGTGGCTGAAAGCGCTGCTGGTCGACTGCCCGTCTAAACCGACACGAGGTCAAGTGCTTCTTACTCTCTCCGAGATGGCAACCGCTTTTGGTGCTATGGATTCTCCTCCCACTCGAGACATTTTCGAGCTCCTCGTGGTTTCGGCGTGTTGTCTTGCCTCGGATAATTGTCTTTGTGGGTCCTACAATTTCTCGGTTTTGGAAGAGCTATTTACTTTTTGTCGAGTACTTCTCGGATGCTGTAGGAGAGCGCGAGAACAAAATGCTACCGCTTTAGAGGGCTGTTGCGATGCTGTAGCAGAGATAATTGTGCGAAAAGAAATCCCTGGTCGCCTTGTAAAAAATCTGTGTCGGATTGTGACTGAGCGACAAGCTGCGACTTCAAGAAGTATCCGAAGCCAAGAGGAGGAGATTCTGGGTGGATATTTGCAACTTCTAGCATTACTCGCTAGTATCTCAGAGAAGATTCGCACAGCGATTCTTTCCTACGATCTGGAGAATTCTTTAGAGGGCTCGAACTCTCCAAATTCGAGTGGACAGATGATCCACTTCATTAATAAAAATCTGCTTTTTGGAGACAAGATATCCGAGATCGACGGACCCAGTGCACCACTTTGCAGAACCAGTTTGGTACGCCAACTCGCTCAACGATTGCTGCTGAACTTGGTGTTTCCTTGGACGAACGAGACTGGTGATAATGTGGCCCTGGCAGACGATATGTCGGCCTTGTTGGGTCATCTGCGTGAGTTCCAAGCTCGTGTCCTAGAGACGATGAACCTTGCTGGTAGGCAGTGGAATTATGCTCCAGCAAACTCGTTTTTGGATGCAACCACTCCGCATGTTGGCCTCGTAAATCCAGGCTGCATTTGCTACATGAATTCTCTCGTACAGCAGCTTTTCATGATGCCACAATTCTTTGGAGGACTACTCTCGTTGGATTTTTCACATATAAAATCCGATCGACCGTCGCCGTGGCAAGAGGAAGTTGAACAGCTTCAAAAACTGTTTGTCTCTCTTGCATACACAAATCGTCGCTCGTGCGACCCGGTAACCTTCGCTCGCTCACACAAAGATATGGACGGGAACTCGACGGATCTGCATATTCAGATGGATGCAGACGAGTTTTTTAGTCTGCTTTTGGACCGGCTGGAGATGTTTATCCGTCCAAAATCTGCGGATTCTTCGGAATCTAAATCTGAAGATTTCATGGCTCAGTGCTTTGGAGGCATTTTAGTGAACCAGATTTTAACTCAGCAAGGAAATCTGTCAGAGCGAGAAGAAAAGTTCTTCGCTTTGAGTGTGGAAGTATCTAAAAAGCGACATTTAGCAGAATCCCTGGAATTATACGTACAAGGCGAGACTCTGGAGGGAGAGAACGCCTATTTCTGCGAACGAGAGCAGCGGAAAGTGTCTGCTACCAAGCGAGTTTGCATCAAAAAGCTCCCACAAACTTTGGTTTGCCATTTGAAACGCTTTGAATTTGACTACGATACGATGGAGAAGATGAAGATCAACGACTTTATGGAGTTCCCCATGGAAATCGACATGTTCCCATACACCAGCGAAGCGTTAGCAGCTACCGATAGTGGTACCACTACTGGAAAATTCATCATGTACGACCTGGTTGGTGTGGTGGTGCATTCTGGAACTTCAGACACCGGTCATTACTACTCGTTTATCAAGGACAGATACGAGGCGGAAAATCCGCGATGGCTCGAGTTTAATGACGAGATTGTACGCGATTTTGACGTGGAAACAATGGGTGAAGAGTGTTTTGGAGGTGAGGAAGTGGGTCAGAAATGGAATGCAATTCAAGGCACATACTCTCCTATCGTCCATATGAAGAGGAGAAGCGCCTATATGTTGATCTACGAAAGACGATCAGAGGATTCCTCGACCGAACCAGAAAAATCCAAGCTTTCGAGTCAAGTGGAGACACTTGCTACTCAGATAATGAAGGAGAACGCACGTTACGAAGGTGTAGTAAACGCTTTTGACCCCAGTTATGAACAGTTTATCTGCGACTTAATGGAGAGTGTGATTCGCACGGAATGCACCCCTGACGTGGCCAGAAAAGCATGCCAACTTGGATGTCAATATCTGTTCGGAATCTGTTCACTTCGTGCTTCATCACCGACATCCCAGAGTTCACCTGTATCAAGTATAAGCGCTCGTACTGCGCTGTGGTTGGCGGAGTATGGCGAGAATCCAAGCACTGACGATGACGATGAACGGGTGCAGTTGAGCAAGTGGATTCTCGCAGAGATTGTTGCTCCTCCCAACAAATCACAGCCAAAATCTTCAGCACTGGAAAGTCAACGTACGTGGCTATTTGATTTGTTATTCCTCGCCGCTGAGGGCCAAGAGCTAGTAGATAGTTGTTTCCAGGTCCTTTTGACTGCTGTCAGAGTCCTTGCGTGCGAAATCGTCAAAAATCCGACTACGGAACAATCTCTTGTGGATTTTTTTCGCGACTCACTGAATCTATTTTACTCTCGAGAATCCCATCTCGACGTGAGCGATCCGGTCTCTGGTTGTGTCTTGACGCTGTCAATGGACTCGAGAATGGCTGCGGTGAAGCAGCTAGGCGCATTTCTTGACAATTGTATCAGCGAATCCACGAAAAATCCAATACCGACTTGTGCGAGTACTATTCGACGTGTGTGTCTCGAAAAACTACAGTTTTTCAACCACTTCCTGCTCTCATTGCAAACACCATTTACACCTTCCGATGTCATTCCCAGTAGCTCTGTATCGTCTAGAGGAATTGCTCCATTAGCTATTGAGACGAGATCCGCAACTCCATTACGTGAGCATGACCTTCGGGTTGGCATATTTTATCTGGAGATGAAGCTGCTTAGAAAAATGCTGGAAGCGTATGAATCCGAATCTTTGCCCATGGATACCACATTGCTACTAAGCCACGTAGCGCTGAAGAATATGGTGCTGTTCGGTATAGAAGATATTATCCAGCCTATACTGATTCGGATTATCTTCGACAGCGAATCTTCCAAATGTGATCGTCTAGTATCTCTGCTAATTGGCGTCTTGGAAGAAGTGAAAGATACCTACGCGGATAAAGCACTCGTTGTATTTGGGAGACTTTTAGACGAGGAAGTAAAGAGATCAAAGTCTATTGAAGAAGAGACTAGCGACGCGTGGACAGTTCATCGACGCGTCTTCTCTCCAACCAGGGGAATTTTAGAGAGTGTGGCCTATTATCGAGATCACGGTTCACGTAAGTACACACGTTTACTATTGGAGTTTGTGGTTCATCGTGCCAGTGCGTCCTCAGCACTTCAAGAATTGTTCAAGAGGGATCCAAAGTTCTGCAAAAGTGTGCGTTGGATCCCTCAGTGGTTGGTAGATCATCTCGACTCTGACGGTAAAATCCGAAAGAAAATCCGTGAAAATGTGGAAACCCAGAAACTTTTCAAGGAGATTGAGACCGCTTTCGGAGTGACAATTCCAGTATATTCCGAAGATACCCACCAAGAGGAAGAGGTTACGCCGGTCTCCCCTCCAATCTCCCCATCCGCTATTGCCGCCGAAGACGTCATCTTGGAGGCACTGGAACTCAAGGAGAATCAGTATGATAAACACGGCGATTCTCGCTCGATAAAGCGGTCGATCGGAGGAATCCGACAGCTTGGATCGAGTAAAATCGACGAAATCCGACCAGAACATGAAGCTACTGAAGCGGATTCTTGGAAACTGCAGCGGTCACGTGAGGATCTATCGAAGCTGCTTCGGATAGATCTAGATACTATACACAACAACGCTCGAGAGGCTTAAAAGAGAGGGTAGTCGGTTTTATTCTTAACAAGGTTCTTGAGAGATTATCCTGCGTTACCGCGTAGATTCATCACTTTGAATACTTCGAGAACTTCTAGTTCCTCCACTTTGAGGACGTCTGACTGGATTAACTCGACTAGTTGAACTGGAACTGGTACAGATTCTACTTCTTGTGACATTAGCAGATGAACAGCGTTTGAGTTTCGAGGCTCGAGAATCCAGCTTTGTGCTGGGTATTAAACTGCTTCTGGATGTGGCTGAGCGACGTAGAGATTGGCTCTGGAACTCTGGAGTCGTACATCTGGATGTTTCGCTGTTCTCTGCACAAGCTGAAAAATACAAAAGACGACTACGCGGCGACTTGGCAGCCAACTCGGTATTACTCCATTCTCCACTGTTACTATCCAAGTCTTCGCTTCCAAGACTAGATGCTGAGAGGCAAGTCGACACAGGAGACCGTGGAGTTTCGCTCGTAACCGAGAAATCGTCAACCACCCAGGGTCCAACGGGTGAGAGAGCGAGAGAATCCACGTCTTCGTCACTGTCAACGTCCACTAAGTAGAGAAAACTGTCGCCACAATCGCTCGATTGATCAGGTTCACGTCCTTTTCGCCCCCTTCGGGTGGCTGAAATCGGCTTCCTTTGGTGACGTGGATGCTGTGACTGCTTCTCTATTAGACGGTATGTTGAGCTGGAATTGGGTCTAGATTTTCGACGTAAGGCACTAAAATCCAGCGAAGAAATCTGGTTGTTTGTAGCTCTACTAACTCCAGCTTTGGCTGTGGTTTGAGGTGCGTCGTATATGACAGCAGGTACAGATATTTGGATCGTATTTTCCGCCATAATTCGGTTGAGTTGAGAGCTTGAGAGTGGGCGCTGCAATAATCCGCTGGACGCCATCGGGTTCGATTCACTGACAGTCGCTGGTACTGTTGCAACAACACCTTCCATCTTTTCAATCGGATTTTTCAAGTGTTTGCGTTGTCGCTTTTGATTATCTTCAGCAGGGCTTTCAGATTTTACAGCAGATTTTTTCATTTTTATCTGTCCGAGATCTTGGTTTTGCTTCAGGAAGACTTGGTCGCGCAACTCGCGGATAATTTGTTCCAACTCTTCATCAGTGCGGTGTCTGGGTGGGGAATCCATCTCAATTGCTGTGGTTATAGCTCGCAAGGAGGTTGATTGATTGTTGTGTTGGATATTATCCACACTTCGCTGGTTTACCGCATTGTTGTCGCGATCTTCACTGGAGTCACTAGTCGAGCCGTACACGCTCTTCCCAGCGCACACGATTAATGGTACAGATTGTGACTCAGTAGATTCCAGAGAATCTGCAGATTTTTCTTCGACTGCAAAGCATGAGAACGTTAGCTCGCGTTTTCCCTTAGAGCGTGTGTTACTCCCGATAATTCTCCTCCCCTGAGGTTTCTTCGCATGGACTCGAGTGTGAGTATTGGACGACGGAACTCCGAATGCACTGGTCGCTGTCAATGGCGCCAGAGGTTCCTGGTAGTAGTAGTAGCTGGCATTTTCGTCGCGTGATGCTAAAGTGTACGCTGTGGCCCCAACGCCGAAGCTGCCGTTTCCAGTACTCCCCCACCGCATGAGCTTGATATGTGACTTTCCGTGTTGTACGTTAGTTTTTCGGCCATAAAAATATATAAATACCTATCCCAAAATTGGCGTTCGAGTACCTCAATCAGTAGAAATATGGATACAATGGATCGAGTTGAAATCCAAAGGGATCCCGCAGCATGTCGTAGTCAGCATCGACGTCAAATAGATCGGGACGGTGTCGCGGTCGAAGCGACAATGGGTCGTATCCAAGCGGGAGGAATGGTGGAGGCATGGGAACGTGCAGTGGAGGTGCTGGCAATCGTCTTCTGTACCAGTGACTCTGCTGGTGAAGCAAGTCAAATAGTTGACGCTGACGCTCATGGTGGCGTTGGTTCCATTCCTCCATTCGCTTCTGGACCGTCCAGTGCGAAATGTACACAATTTTTGGGTCTTGATCGGGGTGTACGGACGGAAAATCTACAAAAAAATTAAGAACAAAAGATACGATTGTTTGTAGCATATACTTACCACGAAGTAAGAAGTTCTGCCACAACTCTGAAGAATCCTGTAGCTGGTGCAAATACTACACGCATTCGTCATAGTCAAGACACTGTTACGTTTGCACAGTCAGTAGCGAGTTCTCGTACCTTGTTTGTCTGAGTGACTCGGCAAAAATCTGGAACATTCAGAAATTCACCAACGTGCACTAGAAGTGGCTCTGGGAGTCGACTGAGCTCTGCATCGGAAGTCACGACGCTGGCGTCGCTCGAAAACTCGGGGAACAAATTGCGTTCCAACCTGATGATCAAGATTTTTATTTTTTAAGTAGTTGCACCAGATTATTGAATGAAAAGCGACCAACCTCCAACGAAGAATCTCCAGGTTGCACCGCCACTTGTTAGTGTACAACACACGTCCCTGATCTTCAGCTTCTTGCTTCCGAGGCTTCACGAACTCGGAAACTCTACAATAAAAAATGTGAGTAAAATATCACAATTTTTTATCTGGTACCTTGAAATGGACGTACTTGAGATTGAGTTGGACGCTCTTGGCGCTCGATACGAAGTGGGCGAACAATTTGCTGCCCACGAGTAGTCCGCGCACATGAACGTCCATGTCTTCTTGGACTTTTTCCGACACTTGGTAGCGCTGTGCTGGTAGCAGATTCACGTTCCCTGCGAAGCTCTCAAGGAGACGGGGACGGCTTGTATCCATCTCGGAGCCCAGCACAACCCACCCGTGCTCCTGTAGCAGCGTGTGCATCATCCAGAGCAGCGCTCCAGCAGCAGATACGGCACTCATGTTACGTTGGACTCACTATTCTCTCAAATATGACTTTTGCCATGTTTTTGTCCTATCACGAGATACTTCATTACTCTAAAATTGAAGTTTAGAGTTAGGCGGTACTGTATCGGCATCGCTATTTCGCTAGGCTTACGGTTTTAGTTAGTGCTATTCCGGATGTAGTACGGTTTGTCCATGAACTCGGCCTCGCAGTACGGGAATAGAGTATCATCGTCTGACGGCGTGAACAGCTCCTTGCCGGCGTAGATCATGACGTAGCAGCCGGCAGCGGCACACACAGCGATGACAATAATGGACGCCCCCTTGTCCAGGAAGGACATTTTGCGCCAGAATACGCGTAGGTAGATGATCAACGGCATAAGCAGACAGCTCGTCGTGTGAGCCGTAGCACCCGTAAAGTCCACCAAGTCGAGGAACCGTTTACGTGCCAGAACAGCACACACCACTAGAATGACGATGATACAGATACGAAGAGTGATGTAACGCAGCGCGTTACGGGCTCCACGGTACGGCTCATGCAATCGCTGCTCCGTGATGTCGTCGCCGAACTCCAGAGCCACACGAAGCTGGCTCATTCGACCCTCGGCCTTGTCGACCAGGCTGGACGTGGACACCTGACGATCCGACATGTTGGGCGTCGAGCTGCGCACATATGATCCCTGTAACTCCAAGTCCTGCTCCACGTTAGCACGGTCTTCTGCGCCGTTGTAGCGCACGACCTTGGGGCCTACGTGCATACCCAGAATGAGACGCTCAGCCATGTAGAACGGAGGCATCATGAGCGTCGAGAAAGCGATCGTGATGTGAACCTGCATGAACAGGTAGGCCATCACCACGGCGCCACGGTCGGCGGTGAAGCCCAGAGGAGCCAGACCAAGCGGGTCCGACGTGCTCACGATCGAGTACAGGATGTTACCCGATAGCTGGCAACCACCGGCCGTGTAACCCGCCAGAGCGATCGCGACGAAGAACGCTGAGATGAACAAGATGGTGATCACCACGACGCGAGGCATACGTTGCGGCTGTGAGTGTTCACGGTGTAGATCGGGGACCACAATGGCGGCACCGTATGCTAACGCAAGATTACCGAAACACATCAGAACCTGGTGGACCGACACATCCGGCGACGGGATCGAGCCGTGGCCGCGCATGTTCCATTGCAGCACAGCTACGGCAATGACGTCGGCAATAACGGTGCCCATACTAGCCGCGAATGCCATGCCGGCGCTCTCCTTCAGCGTCGGGATCAGACACACCGGAATGACCATGAGAGCCATGAAGATGATCCAGAACGTCTGACTGAACGAATCCGGGAACATGACGTCCAATAAGGTACTGCCCAGCACTAGGAACGCACAGGGTGACAGGAGACACACACCCATTTGTGAAAGCACCGTGAAGAAGCGGCCCCACTTGCCTAGAGCCCATTCACCGAGATCTCCGTACGTTTTCACAGACGATGGGGATACCAGCAACACGCGGGAAAGTTTGAGGGTTGCGTAGGTGTTGGCGAAGATCATGAATGCTAAGGCAATAGAGGCGTACACGGGCCCGGCACGCGCGTAATTGGCGGGCATCGTAAGCGACCCCATGCCACAGACCGAGCAAAAGAGGTTGAACGAGGCCTTGGCATCGTCCATCGTGAAGAAGACCGACGTGCGCTGGGCGGAGGCGGTGGATGTACGAGGCGCCATAGTTGATCGAAGCTCGGAGCGTTAACTTGCTGAGGTTGCTGGTACTGTTGGTGGTGTCGGTGAGAGAAGAGAAATTGAAGAGTGAGACGCCTCGTGCCGGTGCTAGTAGCACTGCTACCTCAGTCGAGACCATATTGCATGTCTGCGATGCCTTGGAATCTCGCAGCACCCGCGTGTAGCCCAGCCAGACTGTCGTGGCTCTGCACCGCTGAATGCCAGCAACTTTGGCCTGTGCGCCACAAGAACCTCCGAGGAAAGCGGGACACCCAGCTCGACTCGGATTAATGACACTGTACTAATGAAAAATGGAGATGCTTTGCAAGGCCTCGTCTATCAATTGTAGACGGATACGCGACGAGGCACGAAACTTCAGTTTTATAGTAGGATGACATATCACCTTGGCGATCGACTCCAGCGGGCAGCAGAAATTCATCGACGAGGCTAAGATTTCTAGGTGGGTTTGTTTATAGAAATTAGGGGTCGAGTGGTAGTTGGCGGCGCTTTGATCGAGAAAGCAGTGCGCTTTTTACTACTAAATATCATGCACTGCAAGCGCTTGCTTGTATGTCCAAACAGATCATAAAAGGAGCTTGATCTTCCAAGCGAGCGTACTGCAATTCACGACGTAAACAAGGGCAAAGGCTGCATCAAAAAGTCGTGTTTTAACGACGTAAGTACCATAATAGTACAGTACAGTGGTGCACCTCGTTTTCGACACCGGTATGCCGCTATACCCTTCATAATTTGATGATTACGCTCAGTGATTTGCGCAAATTGTTTGCCCATCACCGTTGGCTGAATTAACCTCAATGGTTTTCCCGGAGGGATGACACGTCTCGCCGCAGCGACCTCACTCTACCGAACAGACGAGTAAATACTGAAGCTTAAGGTAAATGGCCAGTTTAAGTCAATAGGGCCAGATTAAGGCGCACCAATAGCAGTTGAAAATGCAGTTGATTGGTTATATTTAGACACGTGCGCCGTTCCACTTATACCTCTCAGTTTTGATCTAAGCTGCCAAATATGAAGCGTCGCACGTACAGCAACAAAGAAAAGATGACTTTCGTGAAGTCTATTCGAGAAGGGGGCGATATCGACGATATCAGCGAGAAGAACGGTGTTCCTGCCCGCAACTTGTTCCGATGGGTTGGAGAAGACACAAAATGGCGCGAAAAGGGAAATGACGGCCCGTACACCTTCGGCAAACGGCGGGGCCCTGACCCCGCTCTACCAAAGGAAGCTGAAACTAGTATTCACGATTGGGTCGTGGGTCAGCAGGTTGAAGGAGCTCCTGTTGGAAGGAAAGACATCATCAGAAAAGCCAGCCAAATTTCAAAGCTGGTTATTCATCAACCATTAGGTGAGGGTTGGTATCGACGGTTCAGAACTCGCTTTCCTGACTTAAGCTATCGGGTCTCTCAGTCGGTGTCGAAGGTGCGCAATTACGTGACGAAAATGGAAGTGGCTACCTTTTTCGGGTCTTTGGCTAAGGTTATCGTGGAAGAGATTATGGACGCGACTCGCGTGTTCAACGTTGATGAAACTGCATTCGAGAGTTCCCGTAAAACAACACGCGTGGTAGCTCTTAAAGGGTCAAAACACGTTTGGCACACTGATCCTACTACAAGCTTTCATCTCTCTATTGTAGCGTGCGGTAGCGCTGGAGGCTTTGTCGTACCTCCTTTATTCGTTCTACCTGGTGAGCGAGTGGAAAATGAAGTTCTTGAGCAATGTAGTATACCTGGAGCTGCAGTTACAACGACAACAAAGGCGTTTATGACAGCGACTCTATTTGCTAAATGGATCAGTTTTTTTCGCTATTGCTGTTCCTACACCTGTCAAACGACCACTTCTCCTAGTCATGGATGGCTGCACATCCCACATTGCCGAAGAAATTGCCGAGACCGCCGACCGGATGCTTGTCAAACTGGTTTGCCTCCCCGCAAACGGCACGCACATACTACAACCGCTAGACGTTGCGGTGTTCTCTTCATTTAAGAACACACTCCATGACCTCATCGACGCTGTCATTCGTGTGGTGAAGCGCCAGTTGGCTTTCGTGAATAAGAAACTGGTTGATGGGAAGCGACCCGATCCAGCCCTGAGACTCATGGTCGACGACGGTGCGTCAGTGATTACGTCATCATCGGTGAGGATTAC